AAGATTTTAAATGCAAACTATACTTGGGATCCTATGGTTTTGGTTGTCAAACATCCTTTTATCTTCCTTCGTTGTGTTGCCAGGACATTGTCCAGTGTTTTTGTTGTGTCTACATGTTCAGTATGGAGATGGAATGGCAGTACTATGGTTGTACATGCAATACAAGCAGTTGACAACATTGATGGCTACTACTGGCAGCTTATGACACTTCTAATCATCCAAACAAAGCTCTAGTCGACTATTTGGCTCTTCATTTCACTATGGTCATGCTTCTTTACTACTGGGAAGGAGAGTAGCACATGCTACATGTTATGCTTGAAGTGCTCAATGTGGATGTTGATACGGATACAAAGATATGCTGCTTGGATGCTTGGACAGTTTCAGATGTTGGTTGGAGATTCACATTTGCCTTGTCCTTCGGAATGCAAAACTTGGCGCCTGGTGAAAGCTTTAGAGGTGCTACATTGAGGTTTTGACCTTGGCTTGTGGATACACACAACACCATACTTTGGGGATGTCTCTTTTACTCGTTGTAATAGTTAGCATTAATATATTAGCTAGTAGTAGTTTTTCAACTTTAAACTTTAGCTTTGGACAAGTTATAAACATTGGATCCTCATTTTTTGGATATATATATATATATATATATATATATATATATATATATATATATATATATATATACACACACTATGCTGCCTGCCTAGTGGTATATTCGTTAAAAAAAATTTATCTTTTGTGTTATTACAATTCAACAATTTTGAAGAAGTGAATCAACTCCATTTTATAGAATCAATAGTATTTGTAAAAAAAATTGAGTCATCGAATAGGAGCAAAAAAAAGCTCAACATGGGAGAAAAAAATTGGGAATGAGGAACCTTCAGTTCCCAAAAAACAAATAGGACAAAAAAGGATGATGATTTTAATCCAAAATCAGCTATGTGATTTTTTCAGGTGGGACTTGGATTAGTGAGACCGATAACAAAATGAGGCACTAACACCGGTAATTTTTAAGCATGGAAATTGAACTTTCTCGGCAAAATTTAGAATATAAAAGCCTCAACATATGGTAATCGAACTTGGGTACTCTTCTGATGTGAAATGCATTAGGTTTAACAAATATATGAGGAGGAACCATTAGTTTTAAGGTAAACAAGATCAAAATGATCCACTTTTGACATATATTAAGGACTATTTCAATTAATGGGTGTACATAAAGGACCAAAACAGTCTAACCCATATACATTAAGGACCATTTTGATCATTTTCTCAATTTTTTTTATTACATCCCACATTTTCACACGTTAAATTATGTCACGATTTAGTCGACATAAGCTTGGAGATCAAGACTATTCTCAAGTTCATGAGTATATAAAACCATGCATAACACATGTTGTAAGGTTTAGAAGTTAAACGACACAAAGAAAATAAGTTTTGTCGAAAGTCGGCAAGTTGGGAATGTTATAATCCGTACTTTTGGGGGAGACTAGAGTGCTTAACATGATAAAAAGGTGATGTTATAAGGTATTTTAGTCGTATGATGGTCGTGTATTAAGCGAGTTATGAAATAAAAGTCGACAAAAGGTCACAAGTTACATTCACAGTTTTACTGAAAATTTTGGTCTATGTTACTGACATTTTATCTCAATTTAATTGTATTTACGGGATCTACCCACCAAATTGAATATCTACGAGTCTAGTTTCCAATGTATTAAACTGTTCGCCGATACAACATCCGAGTAGAGAGATTTTTTACGTTTTCACGAGATTGCGCAGGCAGCCTCTATGGGACCCACCTAGGCGATGGAAACTTATCCTTTTGTTATAAAAACGGGGGAAGCCCTTATCTCTCTTATTTTTTTGACCAGAGCACACCTTATATCTCTCCAAAGGCTCTTTAAGAGCTCTCAAAGGTTTAAGGGTAATTTCTAAGTTAAACCACCTAAATCTAATATCAAGAACCCCATAAAGGTAGCAAAAAATGCTTCTATGATGTTGTGATAACATTAAGGGTTGTTGTGAGCTAAGAGAAGCTTGGATTTCAATTTGTAGTTGCTGTATAAGTAAAAATAGGGGAGTTGCTACCCGATTTTCTGTAAGTTATACGACTAGCCAAATACAATGGTTATGACATTATATATTGACGATAATATTATTTCACTTGTTATAGCCGCAAGAAGTTATGTTAAGCTTGGTTGAGGAATAAGGAAGAGATCCTCCTGGTATATTAAGGCTCACCCCTTCATTCTTTTGGCATGATTTATGAATAAACATAACCATAACAACGTCCCTTCAAAAGGAACTCTCTTCTTGAGATTAAAGCCTGTGAACCTATATATATATATATATATATATATATATATATATATATATATATATATATATATTGTCATTCCTTGTCGGGACCACTTTTCGCCATGATAGCCTTTGAATCTTATGTCTTCTTATGATCCTTGTTGACTCTCGGACAATTGATATTAGCACGGTTACATAACGATAAATTCGGAGAATAACAATCTTAAGTCACTCCGATCAGATCCATAAGGCCCTTTAGATTTATTGCTTGCATTGCACGTATATATATATATATATATATATATATATATATATATATATATATATATATATATATGTATCTATTTTCTTACTTAGCCGCACTATAATCGGCCAAGTATGACAGTTATATGTGCACACCACTGCAGTTGGTCATGAGACATTACTGAGTCCTATTAAGGTCGGGTACGATCGAGTCTTCTTCGAGGTCGGGTACATTATGTTATGACATAATTTGTCCCACATAGTGGCTTGATACTATATTCTATGGCTCCGTTGAGTGGCTTAATCTTTACAGATATGTATGTATATCCATGATTGTGACAGTGTATGCCCTCAAAGGCTTGTTATGAGTTTCAGGTTGACTTCTGAACTTTTCCTTCACATTTCATATTTTATTTATGTGCGTACTTGCCTTGCATATTCAATACATCTTTCATATTGACGACCCTTTGCTGGAGCACTGCTTTTCATGCTCGTGGGTACAAATAGATATTCAGACGATACCTCGTAGTAGGTGACTCGACTCAGCTGAAGGTTCTCATGCTCCCTTCTTTCGGAGCTGTTTAGTAAGCTGATAGGTATGGTGGTTATATGTATATACATAGTTGGGGGTCCTGTCTTGACCAAATGTTGTTGATGTACTCTCTAGAGACTTGCAGACAGTCGTCTTGTATATAGTAGTCTTGTGCTGCTTTGTCGGCCTTCTTAGTGGACCCATTGTGTTTATATTGGCCTTATCAGCCATGTTGTATATATACGTATGTTGGGCCTTTTCTGCATGTAAGTAGTTGTGTCTTTTGATCAGGTAATCACTCATCAGAAGTCTTGTCGGCCCACGTATTTGTTGAGTATATTGCATGTATGAGGATTAGTACGCTCGAGCCTTAGGGCACCGGGTGTCGGCCACAACCCCCAGGTTGAGGTGTGACATTTTCTCTCAATAAGTTTTAAGAAAGGCAAGGTTAAAAATAAAAAAATTATCTAGTGTAATGTCAAATATATATTTTACATTATACCTAGTCTATTTTATTTCTAGTCAAACGAATCAAACATCTATATGTATAACATGTTTGACTAACTAAACGACCCCCAAGTGTGAGGAAAAAATATATACTACTATTCATGCATTGATTTTTTGTAAATGATGAGTGATTAAAAATCATCTAGTTAGACAACATCTATATCACGTACCAACGTTTAAAAAGGAATTATGGGGTCCGATATACAAAGGTTGAATCACCTAGGAAAACTCATTAGCTTAAAACTTAAGAAACTATATGAAAAAGTATTAGTTATACCTTATTATTAAAATATTTAAAAATATATGAAAAGTTATTATAAAAGAATGAATTTATGGTAATGTCGTTATTCTTTTTGATACAGAGTATCCCTTGTTGTGCATGACCTAGAAAGATCACTAATTTCTTTCCATTATTAAGCTATTTTACATTTCTTAATAAGTAGTAGCTTATTTGAATAACTTTTACAATGTCATGATATCCTTATAAAATTAGCTTTACATTTCTTGATTAGTAGCTTATTTGTATAACTTTTACAATGTCATGATATCCTTATAAAATTAGCTTTACCACTGCTACTACTATTATCATATTAGATAAGCAATTATTATTACTATTATGATTACTATTATTACTATTACTACTATTTACTATTATTACTATTACTACCGTTACTATTACTATTATTACTACTACCATTACTATTACTATTACTACTACTATTACTACTACTACTACTAATTTATTTTACTACTACGAAGACTAACTACTACCTTCGTACACATAAGTCTATCTCGGCACCACAAAACCTCAAATTCCTTGGCGAAATTTTACGGGGCCTTACATAATAATAATAATAATAATAATAATAATAATATATAAGTCAATTAATACTTTATATTAATGTATGATTAAACTGGAGGATGCAATACCCATTTTTACTCTGCTGTGCATTTACTTTTATATCTCAAATTGAACGGATGTAATAACATAAGGACGTTTTTAGATCAAAAGAATAAGGTCAAGGACCCAAATAAACCCAACTTCTAACAGAGGATAATTGTAGACCTTTTAGCAAGGTACAAGGACAAATTTGAATTTCTTTTACCATCCCACTAAAGATTTATTCCATTTGCTCCAATCCCCAGAGCTTTCTTTTTTCTTAGAATACATTTTGCATCAAATTAGCTGGGAACACGAAGCTAGATTTGCGAGACATTCCCATTTCTCACCTCTTTCTATTTTATTTGGACAGTGAAGAATTGCTTGCTACAGTGGAGTAGACAGTCCAAGTCAAAGTTTTCAAGCATACAATATTTAGCTGATTCCACAAAATCATCCGGTTTGTGCCGATTATTTTTTCAGATACCTACTACCTCCCACTAGCAAGCCTCATTTTCCGGCATACACCATATGCAAAAAAAAAAAAAAATGCAGCACCCTTTTCATGTCATCCCACATGGCAAAACAACTTATGAGTTATGACCATTCCCTTACACATAATCAAAGCCTAAAACAGCACAATTGAATGAACACAGTTCCTTGTCCATGGGATCTAATAGCATGTCAATGAAAGGTATTACAAATTATTTTTCCTGACTCCATTCCTGGAGTAGATTGGAATGCACAGAACTTTCAAAAGACCATACAGAAGTTAACTGCATTTTATAGGCCATAAAAAGTGAGTATCTCCAGAATGAGAAGTTCCAAAAAATGACAAACAATAGTAACTTATTTCCTGTTGAAAATGGCAAAAGGAGCTAGAGGTTTTCTCCAGACATATGAAGAAAACAGCTTTAGTATCTGTGTTCTAACTTCTCCTTTTCCTGGTAGTACTGCACATATCTGCATGCATAAAGATTGGAGGAAGGGATCAGACACTCAAGATTATCAACCAAGTCAAACTCAAGAACCCGATATAATCTTTTGAGAAGGGTTTTTTTTTTTTTTGAGAAGGAAGAGCCAGATATATATTTAGTTTGATACCTTTTTTCTTTGTACAGATATATTTGTTAGAATACCTACCAACATATATGCATCTCTAGCACCTCAACTTGTAAAAAGAACTCATCGCAACTTTGTAACCGATGAGGTTGAAACAAATTTATGTAGCAAGTCGGAGAGAACAAGTTTACTTCATTATTAGCCAAAGGAACTAGAGAAGGGTAGGCAAGCTGCCTGATGTAGAAAGCGATGACAAAATAAAAATTGAGAATTTAACTCGAGAGCAACATCCTCATTTACCTCAATTTATTATTCACACTCGAAAGGAAAAAGTAGAAGACAAACATTCGATGACATTCTGTTTGATCGAATAATGAATGTGAAAAACAGGGAACTTTGAGTTTCACTTTATCAAGCATGGTGTGACTAGAGGTGTAAACTTGGCTCATTTATGTTTGCACAGAATTGTGTTTTTACAAAAAACAGGAATATATCTAATACATATATTGTCTTGGACTTCCTCTGAAACATTATGTCATTGGTGATCAAAGTAAATTTATCTATTAGTGTGAAAATGTTCATCCCCTTGAAATTTTTTAAAAATGTTCTAATAAAACTGCTCATCTACTTTACTGAGTTAAGCTGAGCGTAATCTCGCTTTGAAACTCATTAAATTTACGGCTTGGACCCTCTACATTAAACCTCTAGATATGTATTCCTCTGTGTCATTATATTATGCTCTAAGAACAGGCAACAGAATACTGATTTCCCCCAGTAAGAATAAAAGATCCCGCAGGCAGAATGATATCAAACAACAGAAAACTCCAAACAAAAATTTACATCCAGTTATCTTCACTACATCAGAATATAAAAAAAAACTATCTCCACCAATCAAGGTATATGTCCATTTCAATGCCTTTTCTAGCCCATACGTATATTTGAAAAAAACATGGATCTCAACTTCAGCAAATTAAATCCTTGTAGTAGAATCAGACATCAGCCAGTTTGGAACTGCGTTCTGCAATACGTAATATGTGAAGGGTACAACATTTTGATAGGTCATCTACCAGTTTAACCGCGGTTTGGTTTTGCTGTAAGGAGGAGTTTAGCGGCATAGTATAATGCATGTTCTCTCTACAAGCAGCATATCGGGTATTGCAACCCAACTAAAGCCCAAGTAAGAGTATGTTTCTGCTCTAATCTACACTCCTCAGTCGGAGTTACATTTTGTTGTTCTCATTGTTTTTTAGCACATCTCAAACATATTGTAAGCACATATAGAGGCTCTTTTATAAGGGTTCGAGTTATTCCATTATTCTAAATAATAAAATAATATACAGAAAGAAGTTGTTTTTCCTGTCTATGTTGGTTGCAATTGCATAAAGAGTTAATTTTTTTTCTTCAAAATATATATATCCATACTAACTCCACGCTTGTCGTCACAAAGATATAGTGAATGCAGTCGTACTCCACAATATATCGATTTAGAATCCTGGACCCACCTATGAGCAGCCACGAGACTAGTTTGATTGGAATTAACCACTCCATTAGCTATAGTCTAGAAAGCAACATCTAGGAAGACCAAATCAATAAGAAACTTTAATTTTTGATTTTACATGTAAAAAATATACATATCTTGAAGTCTTTTCCACACACTTCATAAATAATTCATGTGGTCAAGAATCTGATCAGTGATTGTATAATGAGGTGAAGCAACACGTACATCCTCTCCATATCATACACAATCAATCAAAACATCAATAACAACATCAATCTACGCAGTCAGTTGGTACGGACTGTCAAAATCAGATCCCAACGAGAAGTCAATCAATCAACTAGACCTGAATCGTAAATTAGTTGGGATTGGTTATATAAATCTCCTATATCCATTATACTCTATTCAGGCCAGAGTCCCAAAACAAAACAAATACATCCAGGCCTCAATACTAAATTAGTTAGGATCAGCTATATAAATCCCTATATCCGTTCCTTTTATGACCGAGATATCCGCAGTTTCAGCTTTGAACTCAATGGATAATGGCCCGCCCTACCTTTGCCAATTGAACCAAATCCATGGAGCCATAAACCACTTATATTCACCATTAAGTTCTATTTACGACAGATCCCCAAAACAAAACATTCAATTAACCACGCCTCAATACTAAATTAGTTAGGATCAGCTATAAGTATCCCTTATATCCATTTTTTATGACCAACAAATCTGTTGTTTCAGCTCCGGAACTCCATAGGTAAAGGGACCTCCCGACCATCGCCAATGTCGTGGAGCCATAAATCCTCTATATCCATTTCACTCTATTCAGGATAGACCCAAAACAAAACAATCAATCAACAATGTCTCAATACTACATTGGTTAGGATCAGCTATATAAATCCCCTGTATCCATTTTTTATGACCAAGAAACCCACCGTTTCAGCTTCCAAATGGATAATAGGCCCTTGGAGCCATAAATCCCCTATATATCCATTTGGATTCAGGCCAAAGCTCGAGAAAAATACAATCAATTTATTACACCTCAATACTAAATTAGTTCGGGTCAGTTATATAAATCCGCCATATCCATTTCGCTTATTCATCGACCCTAAATTAAATGTCAATTGAACCAAACCCTTGGAGCCATAAATTCCCTATATTATTTCTCTCAGTTCAAATCATAAACTCGAGAAAAAACAATCAATCAAATGTGGCTCAATCCTAAATTACTTATCTCCTATATAAATCCGATATATCCATTTCGCTCTATTCGGGTCCGAGCTCCCCAAAAAAGAGACAATAAATTATAAGAAATTAACCAAAGAAAACACGAACATGTACTTACGAGCACACCTCAACACGAAATTAGTTTGAGTCGGTTATAAAAGTTCACCATATCCGTTTCCCCCTATTCGAGTTGGAGGCATAAATTAAATGGCAATTGAATTTGAACCAAAGCCCTGAAGTCATCAACCCCCTTTATTTTGCTCTATTCAATTCATAACTCGAGAACAAATCAATCACCTGCACCTCAATATTAAATTAGTCCAAATCGGCTAAATAAATTCTCTATATCCATTTCGCTTTATTCAAGTCCGAGCCCAAATAAAAAACAAGTGAATTACGAATAAAATTATCCAAACAAAACACAATCAATAAGGCTTCAACAGGAAAGTCGATCCAATCCATTCTTGGGGTCAAATAAAGACAAAAACAAGTGAATTATGAATAAAATTATCCAAACAAAACACAATCAATAAGTACTTACGAATACGCCCCAATGCTAAATTAGTTCGAATCAGTTATATAACCTCTATATCCATTTAGCTCTATTGAAGTTCAAGCCCAAAACAAAAACAAGTAACTTCTAAAATATTAAGCAAACATAACACAATCACCAAGTATTTTACGAGTACACCTCTTTTTAAATTAGATCGAATTAGTTATACAACTCCTCTATATTCATTTTGCTCTGTTCAGTTCCGAGCCCAAAACAGTAACAAGTGAATTATATAAAAATTAAGCCAAAAAACAAAAGTACTTGTCAGAAAGTTCCTCAATACTAAATTAGCTTTATGAAAACAATCAATCAAATGTGACTCGATAATAAATTAGTCCAAATCGGTTAAATAGAAATTCTCTATATCCATTTCGCTCTTTTCAGGTCTGAGCCCAAAATGAAAGCAACTGAATTTAATAAATTGAGGAAAAAAACACAATAAAAATTGAGCAAAAAAAAAACACAATAAACAATTGAGCAAAAAACACACTAAACACAATAAATAAGGACTTACGAGTAGGTTCCGACGAGGGGAGCGAGAAAGAGAGTGGCGCTGATCCAATTTTCGGAAACTTTGTGATGGATCTTACCAGGAAGATCCTTCCATAGACCTGGCATTACTTTCTGCTGAAATGGCGATAAAGCATACACAACTGCCTTCAGCTTCACCGGTTGCTTCCCCATCGCGTATTTGCTCCGATCGTTCTTCGTTTGTTGAAAGGATTCTAGGGTTTGCGATTTGAGATTGAGAAGAAATGGGGGTTCGTTTTTGGTATGAGTGCGTGCTTGGTGAAGAAATAGTTGGGCTTCTGGGCTTAGAATAATGGGCCCTATATTTGTCAGTCAAAGTCTTTCTTCCCACAAAAATGGGCCATCTGCATTGGGTTTTTTTGGGCAAGTTACACATTTGAGCGGTCGATCAAAAGTAAATTATAAGAAATTTTACCTCCTATAGCAAAGGTATACACCTTATTTATTATACATCAAAATTATTTAAAAATATTATTTTTTATAGCTACCTTTTGTATTTTATAGCAAAATAAGTATTTAAGGTATATACTACCATTTAGGCATGAAATAAGGCATACAATAAGGCATAAAGTACCCTATTTATGTTTTTCCAATCTTTTAGATAGCTGAACATACCTATTTTTAAGGTGATTGCCGTTATTGTATTCATGAATACATGTGCATATAGCTGGACTGTCTTGATTTTAGGTATTTTTTACTACTGTATTCATGAATACAGCATCGCGAATACATGTGAATACATACACGTACAGCTGGATTGCCCTGATTTTAGGCGCTTTTTGTTGTTGTATTCATGAATACATGACGCGAATACATGTGAATACATGCGCGTACAACTGGACTGCCCTGATTTTAGGCGCTTTTTACTGCTGTATTCGTGAATACAACAGCGCGAATACATGTGAATACATGCGCGTAGAGCTGGACTACCTGATTAGGCATTTTTTGCTGCTGTATTCATGAATACATGGCGTGAATACATGTGAATATATGCGCGTACAGCTGGACTGCCCTGATTTTTAGGCGCTTTTTGCTGCTGTATTCATGAATACAGCGGCGCGAATACAGCGAATACACTACCGTAACAACTGAATAGTAGCTATAGGAAGTAATTATGTATATGGTAGCTATAGGAAATTAATAACCACTAAACAATAGTGATCTCTGAAAATTCCTCTGAATTATACATGCTAGCCAAATATATATTAGTTATGTATAAAAATATGTTTATTTAGAATCAAAATGCCTTCAATTTCGCAAAACTACTTAATTGGCTAAAACCCTAAACATTGATTAAAATGGGTTATTAAAGTAAAATGAGTTTATTTTGAGTTTGTAACTAGTTTGGGCATCTCATCTAATTAATATTCATTTATTTTTATTAAAAAGTTTTTTCATATAGATAAATTAGGAAAAAATGCCATGATTTGACTTGCAGCCAATGGACCCAGCGGACCAGGTGCAAAACAAAATATTTGGGCCAACCGTGGAATGGTGTAGGTGATGGTGATTTCTCATGGGATGATATGTTTTTATTGTAAAAATCACACCAAGCAATCATTTTAGATGGCTGCTATTTAGCAATTACTACTGTATCCTGAATTTCAATTTTTTTAGTTTAATTTTTCGGGATAAAAGTGTACTAAATTGTCCTGAAGTTAAGATTTTTAGTTTAAAATTTCAGGATAAAATAAGTACTGCTACTCTCTAAATAGCATCCCTAAAAATGACTATATGTGCACTTGCCCCATTTTTATTTTGTTTTTTGTTTTTGGCCCAATGTTTGATAGCTGTATTGGGGTTCGATTAAATTTGGACTCACGTCGAGAAGTCCGCAAATTTTCATGTGGTGCCGAATTTTGCGCCACTGATTGAATCTGTACCCATTTTTATAAAAAAGTATAACGGATACCCAATTTTTTTATAACTCCAGATACATACATTTTTCTCTTCTTCTTCGATGTTGCTTTTTTCTTCTTTTTAGTTGCAAAATGGGTTTGCTAAATTTATTGTTGTTTTAATAATTTGATGATTGAGATTTGTTATTTATGATATTTGAAAGTTTTGTTTCAAATTTGAGCTTATCGGAGTAGATTTAGGTGTTAGATTGTTGAAATTCGAATAACAAATTTATGTTTCTAAACTTCAGATTAAAAATCTAATTTTGAATATGAAGTTGTATTGAAAAATTGAACTACTTAACATTTGAATTCTAAAGTTGCAATTGAAAGATAGAAGAACTTCATATTTGAAATCTGAAGTTGCTTTGAAGAGCTTGAACTGCTTAAGATTTGAATTTTTTAAGTTGCGGTTGAAAGACATGAGAACTTTAGATTTGATTTCTGAACTTGCATTGAAAATATTGAACTACTTCAGATCCAAGCACGTACACTTTGCAAAGTTTTGTGCAATGCGGGTATAAATTTAATGGTAGTCCCAAAAAATGTGAACATATGCAAATGCCCTCCCAAAGAGTCCCACGTTAAAGATAAAACACCCGCTAACAAAAATGATTCCATATTCAAAGTTCCAATCGAGGTCTTGAATTAATAATAAAGAAATACTATCACTCATAAATATTGTAGGAGGATAGGTTTCCTCTATATGATCAAGTGTATATGTTCCCAACAAATTTTTTTTAGTACGAAAAAAATTAAACTGCAACAAAAATAATATGAAAAAAAAATATTTTATTGCTGAATATTTGTGAGTACAATTCTATGTATCCCTTTATTCTCCTCTCTCTGAAATTCTCCGTGATTCGAGGGCTTGAGAAGCGTCTTTCTCGAATGTAGGATGATGCAGACCTCCTTGTGATGTATTTAATCGCCAAGAACGTCGAGGAGCACTTCGTTGTTTCGGGTTGATCTCCGGGAAGAACTCCGTTGTCACTTCTCTGTTGAAGAACTTTGCACTTGATGATTGATCTCTCTGTTTGCGGATACTTTCACCAATTGCGGAATGCTCTCCTCCAACTCTGAATGTCCCTAGAAGTTATGTAACCCCTTTATTTATAATGGTAGAGGGTGGACAATCCAACTACATATGAACTCTCTTGCTTGATTATGATTGGCTCGTGTGAGTCATCAAACTTATCACATAATCTATGTGATAAGCTTGCTTGTGATTGGCCAAGATATGTCATATTAGACACTTGGCAACTCTTGATTGGCCACTGTTTTAGACTAGGATTGCCACATCATTTCACACGTGGCGTCATCTTGTTGGCTTTGAGTTTGGCTGGATATGCCATGTCACTTAACACACTGGGCCTTAGGACGAAATGGACTTTGGGCCTGAAATAATAAAAAATGAACTAATTTAATTTGTAAAGTCCAAATTAATTATTTAACCCAATGGAATTAAGATGCAATCCAAATTTTGTATGGATTAAATTCAATAAAGTTTATACGTCTACAGTATCGTATTTTTCCTTAAGTGTGGAAAGTTTCTGGTGGAAAAGATTTTTAGCTTAATTTAAAGGCAGAATAGCCTAATAAACACTTCTATTTGTCCCGCTTTGTCATTTCGGTCCCGATACTCTTCCAAGTTTCATCCAAACACTTGTAGTTTTCAAAACACATCATTTTAAACCTCTGTGACCGTTGACCAAGCATATGTGGCAACTTCATGACTGAGTTGGACAAAATACGTGAATTTCACGCGTATAACGAGAGTAAGTATAAAAAAGTTAAACTAAAAATGATTAAAATAAGAAGAAAAAATAAAAAAAATAAGTAAAAGTAAAAGAAAAAAAGAATAATATAAGAAAAAATAAAAATCTCTGTTCTTTCTTCTTTCCCCATCCCCTCCCCTATTTCTTTTTCTCTTTCTTCCCTTCCCCTTTCCCGTTCTTTCCCACCCCTCCTCCATTTTTCTTTTCTCTTTCTTATCATTTCCTGTTATTCTCCCCCTCCATTTTTCTTTTCTCTTTCTCCCGTTATTCCCGGACTTTTCATTTTCACAAACCTTCAGTCAATAAGAAAGTAGTAAATCTTTTTTGAAGAGCAACCACCATTAATGTTTTTGAGATGAATTAGATCTATGTCTATTGAATGTTTTTGAGGTATACAATGTAGAATGTGGGCATATGAATTCCTTTTTATCGGCTACATCACGCCTCTTGAATGTCTATTTCGAAGGCACCTGCATTTTTTCGATCACTATTTCTGAAAAAATTTGGACTGAAATCTGTCCAATGATGAGGAGTTTCAGTAGTAAAAATTTCTGAAAGGGAGATGGACAATGGAAAGTTGGATAATGGTGGGTTTTAGTTGTCCACCGTGGTGCTGCCGCCGGTAAAGGCGGTAAATCGTGGTGTTATTTCTGCTCTAAAAAATAGAGATAGGTGGTCAAGGGTGTGGGAGGAGTGAAAAAAGGAAAAAAATTAAATTAAAAAAAATGATGTGTCATTTAAAATTTGATGTGGACTATGATGTGTCATCCACATCGTGTGTTTGAAGAACACGCGAGGCCGGAGGGGTTTAAAATAATGTATTTTGAAAACTACAAGTATCTGGATGAAACTTCGTAAAGTATCGGGAACGGGATGACAAAGCGGGACAAGTAGAAGTGTTTATTAGGCTATTCTGCCTAATTTAAATATTCAAAGTTGAGTGATTATGTGAGCAATCGACTCAAATATTTAACCAAGACTAACTGAAACTCATTATTTGATGTTGATAGCTTTAGCAACTACATATTGGATCAAATGTGACATAAATTAGTTGATCGATTTTTTCCTATTTTATTTGAATAATCACGAATATAATTAGTTGGTATCGAGGAAAATGCATAAACAACGTATGCCATTCAAATAAGTACCTACGTAATTGGATCTAACAGTTAAACAAATTGAAGTTATCTAAAAAGATTTGAACAATAAATGCCAGTCAAAAATTGCAACTGCTGTCTCCCTACTCTAACCCTAACTTAGGCTTCTTTCGAGTTATAACTAGCTAGGCATGCACAAGGGTCGAGTTTTATGTTTAAATAAATTATTTCTAAATTTTTTAAACCTATTTCTAATGAGAGATATTTTTTCTCTCATTTTCTCTTTATATTTACCCCATTCTTCGTCGTAAAATTACAAAAGTGAAATGATTTGAACTCGTTTGGTTTGTGGACTGATAATGGAGGTAGCAAATGTACGTATTGGTATGGGAAAATAATAATACAGCGAAATCAGAAATTCTAATGAGAATATTAAAAAGGAATACAAAAATATCGGATTTATGGATTCGGAATTGTGATCT